GTTTGGGCCCGCAGTGATGAGACATTTTGGGCCTCACGGGATGGGGGTAGAGCTGGTCCTGTCCTCCCCACCCCAACAAGCCCCCAAGTCATTGTCCACGAACAGCCTTTCTGGCTCCTGATCAAGCTGCTTAATGGCCATGATCCCAGAAACTCAGGAGCAAACCTTGGAACCCAGCAGGTTTTGGCATAAATCCCTCCTAATTAAGTGTTAAACTTTCAGAATTTCAAAATCGCGCGGCCACTACTGCAGCCACACGGCATCATGTTATTCATAACCAGCAATAGAAAACAAATTGTCTACTGTTGCCTTTTCAGCAGATATGAGTGTTGGGGTTAAATCTCAAATAATAATGGTGGGTCTGGTGTCAAAATGGTGAATGTGATCAAAGTAGAGAGAGAGTAATGTGGAAATCATCTGCCCCACAGGTAGGGGGAGGGTTTGGGATGGAGGTATATAACTTCTGTGTTATCGCTCCAGCCCCTAGTTTTAATTTTTTTGATGATCTGAAAATTAAATAGCTGTATTTTTTGTGATTTATGTAGTTTTATGAAGTAGAAAGTAAATTTTTTATTTAAACTGTGTTCATTCCAATAAGATAGATCAGCATAGCAAGATTATCCAGCCATACCCCACTTAAAAACCACAAACCACATTTCCTAACATTAATAATGACACTCTGACAGTCAATAATAACATCACTCAACAGATCTTGAATGGTTCACTTTAATTAAACATTACATTAAAATTGTTACTAAAATGCACTTATTAAACATATCTCTGTAAATCACTCTTAAAACAACCTCCTAAATCAGTATCAAGCATTTCCTCTATCCAGGTCAACATTAAATGATTGCACATCACATATGTATTTTGAAACAGTATAATCACAAGACATTATAAAGAAAAGGAATTCCAGTATTCTCCAGTTATACACCTGTAATTATTATTCTATCAACTAATGCACCTGGGAAGCAGCAAATCTGTTATTTTTCTGTAGAATGTGAGCATAAGGGTTTAAATATTTGACCACTGAATAATAGCCAAAATTAAATTAGGGAAAATTGTTTCTTAGGAACTGTAATATGCAACTTATTTTTCATGAAATTTCTTTTCTCTGTGGTCTCTTGGACAACAGCCCCTGATTCAGGATGAAGAAAAGTCAGTATTTCTCTACACTGTAACTCATAGTGTAGCTGCTCAAACAGCTTTATCTACTAGAGAGTTATGAAAGTCAGAGGAACAGTAAGGGGGTTTAGGAGAAAGAAAACCAACAAAGTTAATGAGCCTGATTACATAAGTCAATGTGACAGCTTTATCAAAATAGGAAAATTATGTCCTGGTGAGCAACTGCAAAACCTGACTCCTTTGTTCTAAGTGAATTTCCTGGGAATGACTAGATTTCCTAGTCATTTTCTGAACTTGGGAAAGCCGAAGATAGGGGAGAGTAGCTTCTTCTACGTAAAAATAACGATTTGGACCAGGCTGTTAAATTATTAAGCTCCCTTCCATATTTCATATGCCACTCAGGGATACATGCAATTGTGGACACTACTACTACCAAAGACTGCTTGGCAAAAGTGAAAAATGTTTTAATACAATTTAAAACGAGAAAATGATATAAATAGAATGTGGTACGACATAAAGCACTAGAATATTGTTCTCTTATCACTGGTTCCTATTTTTTTATTAAGAGAACTTATCATTTTTCTGTTCTAAAATACAATGTTTTAAGTTATGCAATAATATTTTCTTGGTTTTTATGAAACTTAAATTTTTGGTTTTCTTAAATCTATATTGTGAATATTTAAATTTACAGATAAATTATTCCATTGTTTTAAAATAATCATAAAATCCCCTCTTTTTCATATTGAAGTGCAAACATTCTTTAGGTGGTACATACAACTTATAAAGTTTAAGTTTTAATGTTAATTTTTAAAGTTTATTTTAATTTTCTTTTTGGTTTTCGGGCCATATCTCACAGTACTCAGCGATTATTTCTGGCTGTGCTCATGGATCAATCCTGGTGGAGCTTGGGGGATCATATGTGGAACAAGAGATCAAACCAGAGTTGACTGCATGAAAAGCAAGCGCTTTATCTGCTGTGCTACCTTTCTGGCCCTTTAACGCCTATTTTAAAAATTTACTTCTCTGGGGGGTTATGAACAATACCAGGATTGAACCAGAACCTAAGATATGCAAGGCGGAAATTACCACTGAGACACATCCCCAGTTCCAAAGTCAAAAGTTTAACATGAATATATATATATATATATAAAATTATGTGTGTATACAACACACATAGTTTTATTCATATATATTCAATAAGCAAATAGCTATATGATACTTTAAATTTTCTAAGGAAATATTGAAATGTCATACCCCATAGATAAATATATATTTATGAGATTATGAGTATTGGTTCTCCATTTTGGATTTCAGAAAGTAAACATTATTTTAACTTCAGCCAGCTCCAAAACTCAACATTATTTCTATTATAGAAGAAAATAATAGAAATATATGAAACAGAGATCGAAACAGAAATCTTACTACTAGATACTCTCAGCACAGCTTGTTCTAAACAGAAATAATACATTATTTCTTCTACCAAGACAAAGATCCCCATTTAAGGGATGGATAGAACTTGTTGTGTCTTATAAACATTGCAGTTTGCCTTCTCATCCTACTTTACAAGCAACTTTATATATTAAGAAATTAATATTTTATTTTCTCTTTTTCTTACCATAAAACATCTCTGTATTCTTGTTTAAGCGGTAGAGTCTGAACTCGCTAAACAGCATACTTCTCCTTGAGTTAAATAAATAAATAATGTAGACTACATGGTAATAAGTGATAGCAACATACATTTATTGAGTTCTTATGTCCCTTATGCTTTTCATTAATTAACTTACTCAATTCTCATGAGGTAATGATGACAAATCACTAAATTTTGTAAAACATAAAAGTGAGCAAAAATTTATGAATTTTAGTTTGAAATTAATGACACATTCATGATTTATGAACCCTGAAAAGTGCTTCACGTTTTTCTATGGATTCATTTTACTTTTCTAAAGTTGATACCTGTTTTAGTTCATAAACACTACTTCTATACAATAAAGACTTTATAATATAATATACTCTGATGGGTATCATGATTGGTATTATGGGGGATACACAGGTAAAGAAGAATTTATGCTTTAATACATATTGCTGGCAATCATTTCCATTTCATTAAATGTTCTCCTAATTCTGGCAGTATAAAAAATGTCCAGTTTTACTTATGATATATTTTTTTGTATATAGCATTAATGTGATCTTACAAAGTGACCCATAGTCACCTTTCTTATTTTCACAACGTCTGCAGTAAAGTAAATCGTCAGAGTACAAGGTTTACTGATTGTCTCCAAGTCTAGGTTGTATAACCCTTCAGTAATCTGGGTTACTGATACTATATACCAGGCATTCAACTAACCCCTTTACAACTCTGATTCCTAATAGACTTAGTAGGCCAACTATCTCTACTAAGAAAGTTATCTCTTAAAGGGAAGATATTCTCTGAATAGTAATACATGGTTTTAGGCTCTAAGAGGTAAAATGTGTTTATAAGATTGATATAATACAGAGATCATGAAAGAATTTACAATTCTCTGAAGCCACAGGAGAGCATGAAACATGTGAGCTGTAGAAAGAGAAAGACAGTTGAAATCAGTTCTAAAACCAACTCATGTGTGGCAAGTTACTTGATTTCTGAGCCTCAGCATTAATTTTTCTGTAAAATGAAGTAACTAACATCCATCAGGAACAGTTTTCTAAAGACGGGAAATAACAAACTGCAAGGATTCAGCAGAATGGACTGGCACTAAATAAATAACAATGATGTTCTCATCCATTATCTGTATGGCATCAAGGGCAGGAGTAGCATCTAAACTCTTAAGAGCATACATTGGCTCTGTAGTAAAAAAGCTGGTCAGTTGTAGTGTGAGTATAAAATATACTTACAGAGATAAAATAAGGGGTTCTTTGGACAATCTATTTTGGTTTGAATTAAAATAAAAGTGGTGTTTGGGGGTTGCTTCTGGTGTGGCTCAGTGGACAATGGGGTGCTAGGAATTGAACCTAAACCTTTTGCATGGAAAGCAGCGGTTCCAGTTCTTTGAATCATTTCCCCAACCCAAGCCATTATTTATATATATATGTATATATATATATACACACATACATATAAATACATACATATACATATATATATGTTTCCTTTCCATTCAGCTGTCTTCTGCATATAAGCTAGAAAACGTTGAATATGTAAAAACCACAACTGCCTTAACCTCTGATTGTAACTTTAATCTGAATCGTGAGTTTGGATTCATGTGGAATTGACATAACTAATGCATGAGAATATCACTAACAGGAAATGACTATCTTTTTGCTATCACCAAAGTAATTAAGTCAGATAAAATCTAGAAAAACAAATTTCAGAGGTCAATTCATTATAATGCCTATGATGGTCACATAAGCCTGAACAGAGAATGTTAAGTATTCAAATGTAAATCGGTACCTAAGCACAAGACCAGGAGGAGCCCTGGGCACTGCAGGCATGGTCTGCAAACCAAAGCAATAAAAAAGGAAGCCAAATCCTTAAACAAAATGTCGATTATTAGAGATATTTTCATGATTACTACTGAAGCAACTGACCAAATTTCTAATGTGAACTATGTAAAAGCAACTGACCAAATTTCTAATGTGAACTATGTAAAAGCAACAGTTTTGAGCTAAAGAGCAGTTTTACAATAAATAATTTAAGCATAGACCCCAGGACCCCCATAATCTAGACTGACAAAGCATTCAGAAATTCAGTTATTTTTATGATTATGATAGATACAAGGCTTTGATTTTTCATTGCTGGGAATAAGCATATTTAAATAGCCTGTACAGCTTGATGAAAGTGAGCACGGATCAAATCCCCTAAACTGTACAGGACACACATCTTATGTATTTTAATGCTAAAAGCGATTTGATATGATTGTCAGGTTTCCATTTGAGGCAGTTTTTCTGTGTTTAAAAAGTGCTCTCAGGGGTCAGAGAGATAAATCAATGGGCTGGAACATGTATTTGAATGCAGAAGGCCTGGGCTTAACCCCTGATACTACACGGTTCCCCAAGCACTGCCAGGAATGACTCCTGAGCACTGAGACAGGAATAGTCCCTGAGCATCACCAGTTGTGGCCCCCAAATAAAAAAAACATACATTCACAGGGCTGGGGATGTGGTGCAACAGGAGAGCACATGCTTCATGTGTGAGGCCCTAAAGATTCCTTGCACAATAATAATAGTAATAATAATAATAATGATGATGATGATGATGATAATGTTTTCAGTGATTAAATTTAAAAGTATTTTTCATTTTTGTCATCACTATTAGCACTAGCACTTCATTAAAATACTCCTCTAACCATAAATAACAAGCAGTTTAAAAACCCATGGCTTCAACTGGTGAGTTGTTAAATAACTAAGTAGCACTGTAATTACGAATGATCAGAATACTCTGGAGAACACAGTTCTGTTTGGAGGGCTCCATGGAGGGTGTGCCCCGTTCTCAATAAAGGGATGGCGTTTCTTCTGTCTTCGTTCAATTCTTTCCTGCCTTTCTTTCTTCTCCTAAAAACAGAAGATTTTTAAACAACATGTATTTACACTTAACGTGCATATATTTTGAAGTGAGGGCCATACCTGGCAGTACTCGGGGACACTCGGTGCTCCAGAGACCACAGGGTCTGAATCTGGAACGTGGCTCAGTCTGTTGAACAGTTCCCCATCCCATACACCTCTTTTCTAAATGAGACTGCTGCTTAAGAGCAAAAAATAACTGGGTCAGAGAGTATGCTGAAAAGGTGTTTGCCTTCCACTGGCTCACCAGGTGCAGTTCCCTGACCCCCATCCAGTCACCGAGCCCCGCCAGGAGTGATTCTTAAGTACAGACAGGATCAGGAGTAAGACCTGAGCACCACTGGGTATGACCCCGAAACCAAAACCAAACCAAACAAAAAAAGAAGAAAATAACTACTATAAGAGTTATATGACATTTCCTCATTTAATTGGTTATAAAGAAAGAGTAAGGAATATTGCTAATTTATAAGTATACTACTAATAGGCATTAACATACCCCATCATTTCTTTCTCTTTAATTTCGTAAATACTAAAAATGTTGTAAAACCTATGTGAAATGGCAAAATAGGCCGAACCCCTATAACTCAAAGAGAATAATTATTGGAAGCTAGCACTGAGTTCTGAGCAGATTGTCAGAATTTACTTTTACTTCTGTGACACCTTTTGCCTGAATTTTCATTTTCTTCCCCAGGCATATAGGTGTACATAATCAAACACACACACACACACCTATGCACAAACACACACACATAATATATACAATATTTACCATAAGCCAAAAATTATTTTTAAAAAAATTCTGAAATTAACGTGACGACAGTAAAAGTTAAGCATGGGATGCTTCAAATTTTTCAAATCCAATTAAAATTTGACTTCAGATTTCTAATCCCTTATTATTTGAGGGCATTTTCATTTGTTTAACCTTTCTCTGAATTTTCTGCTTATCTTGTGCATCTAACTTCTGTTTCAGTAATGGTTCTTTCAATTTTTATCAATTTGAAAATTTTCCTATGTTCAGCATTTTCTCTATCTTTTGTAGTGCTTAAGTTTTTACTAACAAAAGACAGGCATTTTTTTCTAGCCACAGAAAGTTATTCAAAGAATGTAATCAAAACCCACCTGTCTGGGGCTGGAGTGATAGCACAGCGGGTAGGGCGTTTGCCTTGCACGCAGCTAACATGCCTGACCCAGGTTTGATTCCCAGCATCCCATATGGTCCCCCGAGCACCGCCAGGAGTAATTCCTGAGTGCATGAGCCAGGAGTAACTCCTGAGCATAGCCGGTGTGACCCAAAAAGCAAAAAAAAAAAAAAAAAACCTGTCTGTTAACCGCTTTGTGAAATGAGAGAACCCGTACTTCTGACCTATGTCCATTCTCTCACTGCACCTTCCTCTCACCTGCTGACAGCCAGTCTCCTGGTGCTTACAGCAGTGCATCTCTGGATGCTAACACAGGCTGTATGTCCCCAGTCAACAGTAAAGTTTGGCATATATTTAGAATTGATGCAATAAATATATCATTAAACTTAACTCTACGCTGTACCTGTACAAAGCTTTAACTTTAGTCATTAAAGTATGTAACTTCAATATATCACTTTTTACTTTTAAGACCTGATGTGCTATGCTGGGGGAAAAGGCAGCTCAGATAGAGAAGGGAGCACCAAGTAAAGGGTGTTGGGAGGATCCTCCCAGGATGGGAGATGCATGCTGAAAGCAGACTATAGACCAAACATGATTGCCACTCAATACCTCTCTTGCAAACCACAACATCCAAAAGGAGAGAGAGAACAAAAGGGAATGCCCTGCCACAGAGGTGGGGCGGGATGGGGGTGTTGGAGGGGTGGTGGGAGGGATACCTGGATCATTGGTAGTGGAGAATGGGCACTAGTGGAAGGATGGTACTTAATCATTGTATAACTGAAACCCAAGCACAGAATATTATAAGTCTACAACTGTACCTCATGGTGTTTCACTAATAAAAATTTAAAAAATTTAAAAAACAAAAACAAATGACCTGATGTGCTCCGGGTTGGAGCAACAGTACAGTGGGTAGAGCCTGGCATGCAGCTGAATGGGTTCAATCCCCAGCACCTCAGCTGGTCCCCTGATACCAGCATTTCCTGGATCTTACTACTTTTGTCTTCTATATTTTCGTTACATGTGAGGTCTTTCCTGTCTATGTTAAAATCATGAAGTTGATCAAGTCCGGGGTCAAGTGGGTGAGGCACTTGCCTTGCATACAGCAGCTGATCTGGACTCAATCCCAGCCATCCCCCATGGTTCCCTGAACCTGCCCCAAGTAATACAAGTGCCGGACCAAGAGTAAGCTCTCAACACCAACAGGTGTGCAACCCCCAAAAAACAAAAACAAAAACCCAAACCAAACCAAAAAAACGACCTGATATTCTCACTTTTTCCCCATTCAAAGACAAGTGTTTCAGATATCCCAAAGGGGTAGAGTGACCGTACAGAGGGTAGGGTACTGCCATGCACACAACTGACCTGGGTTCCATCCCTGATAGCCTACTGGGTTCCTTGAGCCTGCCAGGGGGGATTCCTGAAGGCAGAGCAAACCCTGAGCAACACCAGGCCTGGAGACCCCTCAAAAACCAAACAAACCAAAAAAACCCACCAAACAAAAAACAGTCAAGGTTTATGTTCATGAATAGTCCAAGCAGTAAAATTTCTGGTTTGTAGGACATCTGGACATCCAACTTTTCAGGACAGTGAGATTTTGTTCCTTAACTGAACTGAGCATATAGCAAGTGCCTTTCCTGACCTTTTAAAGAACTTTTATAACTTTAAATTTGCTATCTGTTCATCGTTGCCTTTGCCATTTCTTATAGCACTTTGGGTTTTAGAAGAGCATCTCATCCTTAGGAGAAATATTCAATACTAAGTTTTACTGTATTTTGGTTCTTCTATTGGCAGGTATTATACAGTTAGTGCTTTTAATTCCTACTGCTGTGCTTCTTGAAATGACTTTAAATCCAAATGTTGCACACAGAGTAATTATTTCATTCCACCCATTCTCTTTACTGTTACACCTCATTCTTACAGGTGGCAGTTCTCAGGCGTCCTATGAGTCTACTTTTCTGACATCATATAGCTTTGATTTGTGCTTTGTTCACTTGTCAAGGACTCAGAGCCAACTCTGAGTCTAGTGGCATATGGGGAACCACAAACAAACAACCGTAAAATCCATATCACAGCTCTGTCCCGCAGGAAATGTCCAAAGTGAATAAATAATAGACAGCAGGTAAATTCCACATTTGTGAATTTCTACAAAACACATACATGGGAGCAGCTGATAAAGAATAAAAGGTAGCACCAATTTTTCTGCAAGGAAGTGGAGGAATCACCACTTTACTTCCAGGGAAGTGGAGCCCAGGAAAATCACCTTCGAGGGAGACATGCCGGAGAGAAGCCCCCGGGAAAGGAATTTCAAGCAGGGAGAGAAGTGTGTGGTGTGAGGTTTCTGACAATAGGGAGAAACTGGGATGTGGGAGGAAACTGATGCACCCAGGACTAAAACTTGGTGGGAGGTGAGGAAAAGCTCCCAGAAGAAAATAAACTATCAGTGGAATAAGAGTAGATGGGTCGGGCACGCCAGTGGAGGATTCAAAATGCAAGTGAGACAGCATCGAGTGACTCCTAGGAATGGAGAGATGCATGCCAATGGGAGACAAAGAAGAGAAATCGAGGCAGAACACTGCAGGGTCCAGGAAATGGGCAAAAAAAAACCCCCATTCTAATGGTGAGACAGCCAAGCCAATTGCTAAGAGTTGTAGTATCCTGATAGAGAAAGATGGGAGGATATAAGGATGTAATCAAGATCTTCAAGAAATCTAGTTATAAAGAACAGCAAAATGTGGAGCCATCGCTGGAGGGAAATGAAGCATGGCGAGTTTATTTAAGATTCTATTATCTGAAATATGATGGGGTTAACATAGGAGGAAAGCCCCCCAAGGAGTGGCAGGGTGATTTTATTTTCTATTGCCGGACAGGAGGAATAGACCTCTTTCACGTTATTTGGAAAACACTATCCTGTGTATTCTCACGTTCATTATGCCGGGTAAGTTCTGGAATCATTTTGTTTCCCTGAGTATATTCTCTTCAAAGCCACGACTCTCAGATATAGGAAACCGCAATTGAATTCTAGAAAGTTGTGATAGGGTAACAGCATTTGGCCTCTCCATCTGAAAACTTTGACTGACCTTCCACTTCTTTCTGTGTCTGCTGCCACTAGCGGGTCTGGGGTCTCCTCCCCGGTAAATTCTTCTAATAGCAGAGGTCTCTGGGATCCCCCGGACAACCTCGCCTCTGCAGGGTGAATAGCACGGGAAGGGGAGTGTTCTGGTTCAGGACGGCAGAGCAATGCCTCTTTAGTCAGTACATGTAAGGGACTCAAGAGAGGTCACAAGGAAAATATGAAGTGTAAGGTTTCATCATTTCATAATTATCCCCATACAATAGCACTGCACTGTAGCACTGTCCTTCTGTCGTTCATGGATTTGTTTGAGTGGGCACCAGTAGTAACATCTCCATTGTGAGACTTCTTGGTACTGTGTTTGGCATATCGAATACACCTTGGGGAGCTTGCCAGGCTCCGCCCATACAATAGAGGTGAAAAATCTATACTTTTCTTTTTGCCTTTTAACACCTTGCTCCATGTCATGAGAATGTTTGCATGCTTGCTGTTCCTATTGAAAGAGGAGCCTTTCAGAATCCAAGTCAAGAAAAAGAGTTGCTATTACATTATGGCGGTCAGCAGTCCATCCAGCAAGGCTGTAGGCATGGAGGGAGGGGGGAGAGCAATGGTAAGCCTGTGTCCACAGAAAAGGAGCAAATAAACTCCTTTTGTCCGTTTCATTTAACATGGGTGAGCGAAGAGAAAAACTTAAAGAAAGTTTGATCTTAACAGAAGAGTGCTAAAAAATCTAGGAAAGGAAACAAGGCAATTAATTATCACCCTGAATAGCAATTAACACCAATCAAGGTTGTCTGGAGCAGTAACTCCAAGTCCCTCTACCTGTGTCAGTCAAAGAGGAATCTTTCGCTCATTTTATTATTAAATGTAACTATAATTTGATCTGTGAACAAGCATGAAGAGTCTTACCAGCTCTGTGGCTACAATGTTCTCTTAAAATAATTACCCACCAAATCTCTACTACCCAGGCCATTATATCATAATTTTGAGATGTGACTTGCCATGGAAACTGAAGTCATCAGACTTTCAGACGGAATATTTTCCCACTGTGTCTGCAGATAGATAGGGATATTTATAGCATATTGTATATGGGAACTTTTAAAGATAATACTTTATTTACTTATTTAGAATTTGGGGCCATACCTGGAGGTGCTCAGGGTTTACTGCAGGGGATTGAACCTGAGTCCACCGTACAAGGCAAGTGCCACACCCCTTACTATCTCTCCAGCCTGGTAGTACTATATTTAAAGAGATCGTACTACATAGCAGAATAAATTACTTTGGCTTAGATATTTGCTAAATGAATTTTTGTTTTCCAGAAGACTGGCTGGATTGAGAAAGTGACTAAATGACATAATAAAACAAATTGAATCTATGGCTTCATCATCATTCAGGAAATTCTATGCCATTTAAAAGACCATGTGAAATAAAACTAAAATATTTACAGTGAGTTGCTTTAAGTGATACTAGCAGGTCATATTTGGGATGATCATAGAAGATAGCATTATTTTAAGAATTTAATATTCAATAAGTTCCTCATTCCAACCACAGAACCAAGTTGATCACCTTATTTTGGCAGATAAGTAATAAACAACAATAAATTATGGTATTTTTATTATGATTGCATTTAACTTTTAAATAAAACCAGAGAGAGCTGACATTATAAGAGTGTTTCTACAGAAGAGCAGTTTTGTTCTATTTTCTTGAGTCTTCATTTGCATCCTTCAAGGGAAGTTTTAAAGTTTTCTTCATACTGGTCTTGTAAATTTCTTTATTTAGTTCAAGTGTTCTATCTTTTTAGTCTATCCTTAGCCTGCTTTGTGTAACACACACCTCCTTGGCTACATTTGGTGGTAAAGATTTTTAGTTATAAAGATTTAATAAAAAGATTTGGTTACAAAGATTGAAAAAAACAAACAAAACCATTAAGAATTATATAAGAGCTATGAAGAGTGATTAACCCAGAAGAGGAAGACACAAAGATACAATAAAGCCTGATGATGAAGCAGAAAGTCAAGAAATAAATCCAAGATAAGGAAACGTATCGCGTAAGGCACTACCACAAATCAGTGGGTAAAGATGAATAATTTTTATAAAAGATGCATCTGGAAAAATTGCACCATATAACAGGATAAATTACCTAGGAAGACCAAATGTTAAATTATTAAGTTATTAACAATATAAAGTTATTAGAAGCAAAATAAAAATAATCTTTTCATTTACATTGAAGAAGTAGAAGTCAAAAGAAAATTTCTGATAAATCTGATACCTGAAAATAAAATTCTATTTTTCAGAGGGCTGAAAAGATAGTACAGTAGATCGGGTGCTTGTCTTGCACATGGTCGACCTGGGTTTGATCCTTAAGCCCTATGAGGACTCATCCCGGAACACGGACCCAGGAATAAGCCTGAAGCACTGCTGGGTATGTCCCTCAAAACAAAAAAACAAAACAACAAGTATATTTTTCATTCCATACAACATGGCAAGCAAAGTTCAGAGACTGATGATACAGTGGGAAAAAAATACTCATTAAGTTATCAGAGATGACATGCTAATTCCAAAGTATATTTAAAAAGTTACAAATAAGTAAACAGATTAAGAGAAAAATATCTGGCGCTGAAAACAAAAAGATGCTCAAGCTCAACTGTAACCAGAGAAATGTAATCATAAAAATATCTTAGATGATATCTTCTAATATGGCAAACTGGCATGAATTCAAAAGTTTGATATAAAAAAACACTATGGAAGGGAGGGTAATAAAGGAGAGGAAAAAAAACCCTATTAGAAAAGAGGATCCTAAGACTTATGGATGAATTTTAAACTTTTTACCTGCTAAAATATGTAAATTTAACTGCTATAATGAACATCACCTATTCAGGTAAAATACAATCATATAGATGTGATGTTCAAAAATTAGTTAATAAAGACTCCATGTAAGCTAGAAAACAGTATTTCAATTAATATCACAAAATAGCCATAAACATGAGTACACTGCAACAAACAAACCAAAAAAAAACAAGTTCCACTGGATATATTTCTCCCGAAGTTTGTACTCACTTTCTTACATTAAACAAGACCAGCAATTGGAGATCATCAGAAAGATTAAAAAATGTAGAACTTTCTCATCAGTAAATTCAGTATTACTCTGTCTATGCTCCACATAAAATACTTTGTCATACCTTCAGTAGTATATTTTCTAGCTTTCTATTATTTTAGATATGAGAATTAGAGCAAAGGAAGAAAGGACATGATTGTTAAGCGACTCATTGTGGGAATTCAGGGAAGGAAGAACAAGGTAACTGAAGTTTCAGAAAATAGTACCATCATTAAGAGAAATGAGTAATTCAAAGAAAACTGTATCTGTCAAAGGATAAAGAATTCAACAAGGCAGTTTCTAGGTAGAAATGGTCCAGAGGGACAAATAAAACTAGAATGAGGGACAGGAAAATTCACCAAAGAAAACATTCAGACACTCAGTACTTAATTAACAAATAATACCTACCAGCCATTTTTCATATTGATCTATAGCTTGTTTATCTTTATCTTTTTTCTCAGCTTTTTTCAGTTCTTCCTTTTTTTTCTCATTTATTTTCTCTTTTTCTTTTTCCTTGAAAAAAGCTTCCTTTTTTTCATTCCTGTGTAGTGTAAAACACTGAAAAGTTAGAGGAGAATAAACAACAAAGGTTGCCTAATATGTCACAACAATAACATTGAGATGCGCTCTTAATAGATTTCAAGTAGATCAAAGTTGGGCAAACTTAGTATGACACCAATATCTTCAGCTTATTTCTGAGTTTGGATTACCATTTCTCAAAGGCAGTTAAGTTGTCTTTCCTTTTCTCCGCGACAGTCTCCTGCTCTTTCAGTTTCTTTGCTCTTTCGTATTCCTTCTCCTTTTTAGTCTTCTCTTTGAGATATTCCATCTTTTTCTCTTTCCATTTTTCAAAAGCCTGAAAAAGTCCAGAACTGTGGTTAGTGGGACTGTTATAAGCATCCTACAATGAAGCTAATCACGGTTGACCCCAAACACTGAAAAACAATGAAGACGTCTATTTGAAGCCTGTGAATAAATACCTGGAGAGCTTCTCCTTTCCTCGCTGCATTTTCTTCTTCAGTTTTCTTTTTGTTTTTCTCCTCAAGCCGTTTTTGGGCCGCTAGTTTCTTTGCTTCCTTTTCTTTCATGGCCTTCCAAGCTTCAAAGGATGCCAATGCTTCTTCTCGCTTTGCAGCTCTTTTCTATGTTGGAAAATAGCAGAGTTTAATTGTCTTTGAATAAATGAGCAGACACAGATTATTTGTATTTATCTTTAAGTCTATTGGTATTCATTACATAGATTTTAAATTTCAGTGCTGACATATTGACAAGAGTATAGACTGGAGGCTCTCAAATTTATTTCATCTGCTTCCCCTTTACAGAAAAAAAATGTTCTACTTAGCACACCCTGACCCTGTCCAATCGACCATAAAGCAGCCCCTGGCTGCACCCAGGGCTACTGCCCCCACTCCGGATTGTTCTAGCACTTCTCAGCTCTAGCTTAAGACAAATTTATTAAAATATCATATGAGTAGTTCATTCCATTTAAAAACATTTCTAACAGCATTTTGTAACAGGTACTGATTTACCATGATTCCTGGGAAGGAAGTCAACTTGGGGAGGCAGTTCACTAAACAAATATTACCACAACTGACTTCATAGGCTGAGTGGTTCTTTTAAAATGTTCATAATAAGAACTTCAGTCAAAGAAAAAAACAGGACCGCTGGTTGGCTTATAATGTCAGAATACGATAAATTCTCCAAAATCTCAGAGGGAGTTACAGATCTTTGCTTTTAAGCTGAGTTTTGAATGATTATCTGTCACTGTCACTGTCCTCCCATTGTTCATCGATTTGCTTGAGCAGGCCCAGTAACGTCTCCTTTTTGAGACTTGTTACTGTGTTTGGCAAATTGAATACGTCATGGGTAGCTTGCCAGGCTTTGCCATGCAAGTGAGATACTCTTGGTAGCTTGCCGGGCTCTCTGAGAGGGGCGGAGGAATCGAACCCGGCTTGGCTGGGCTGGCTGCATGCAAGGCAAACGCCCTACCGCTGTGCTATCGCAGCCGGCCCTTGAATGATACCAAAGTTCAGTATTATTACTGCATAAACTGCATCCCAAATACTCAAAATGTATGCTGGTCTGGAAAATATGTAAAGATACAGGAAGTAAGCGATTACTTATGGAGGCAACAGTTTAGATGGATGTATTATCTCCTCCCCACATGGAAAAAGCAACTGAGAAGGGGCCCAGCCTGCCCTTCCAATAACACCTCAGAGACGAGAGGGGAAGAGGGAATGGCATATTACACTGCATCCGGGAAGGGGGATTCTTTCTAAAGCTATCCATGTAGACGGTATTGTATAGAACAGTGAAGGCCCCTAACGCCCCTGACACCCCAGGTCTTTTGTTTTAGTTAAGGGAAAGAAATGAGCAGGGGTTAGAGAGATAGAGAGGGAGTGAAAGGAGAGCCCTACTGCAGCCAGTGAGGGGAGGATGAATGCCAGGAGCATGATGCTCTTAAGAGGCATAGAAAATTTGGAACAGACATTAGGTAAAGTCAAAGTTAACGGCTGATGATCCTTTATATTCATCTGTGGTTCACTGCCATAGTCCTTGGGGGTCAGAGTCTTAACCTGTTGACACCGTAGAGGAGGGTGGGGAGGGGTGGTGCTTGTGGTAGAGACTAAAACCAGGACTAATAAGCAATAGAAATTAACCATGCATCAGTAACAACAAAGTTATTCCATACATTAAAGAACAAATGGAGGAGTCTGTGTCCACATAAGAGTTCCATTTTTATGTTAAATTGAAAATGTACCAAGTACCAGAGAAAAAAAGACAACAAATCTTTCAATAACAAACTATTGTCATTTTGTCATTTAGGAAACAATATGGAAATGTTAAATATTCCAAGGTCTTTGACATAAAAATCTAGAACAGGAGATGGGTCAAAGGGCGAGAGCAAATGCTTTGCCTCCAGGAGTCTTAGATTCGATCCCTGGTACCAGCTGGTCTACAGAGCACTGCTGGGAGCAACCCAAGAGAGAGGTAACACCCCCGCTACATGAGATAAGCCCCAACCACCACCACCCCCAAACAGAAAAGAAAAAACAAGTGTAGAATACATTTCACTTTTTAGTTTCAGAGTACCTGCTCATTTTGAATCCTTAAGTTTTCACTTTCAATCCTTTTAATTCTGTGCATCTCATGTAAATACACATTTTTCTTTTCTAGCCACTCCTGTGAAAAGAAGATCCTATCATATTCAGAGTCTCCAAAATGAATTAGAATTCTTATCTATTTCTGAAATATTTTACGAAACTTAAAAAACCTACACATTTATAAATTTTATTAACAAGTATCATTTTTATTTTCCTGATACTATTCTACATACATATGAGCAAAATAAAACTGTTATTTAATATTATGACATCTTTCAAAAATTTGATATAGTAGCTATGCATATTATCATTTTTCCTTGAAATTCAAACATAATTTTTAACATGTAATTTTATGAAATATCTAATAATAAAGACCCCTATTGAAATTGTGAAAAATTATTGAACTATTTTTTCTCTTTAAGCCTAATTCAAATTACAATTTCTAAAAACCTGTTAGAAAAATACAAAAAATAGTAAATTAAAAAAAATTTGTTCATAACAATATTAAATTTTAGAAGAAAAGGTATAAAAGACAACATTTTTCTTTTACCACATATAACTTGTCATGACATATTTGTTAAAAAATACCTACAGTCAAGGAAAGCTTGGAAGCAAGTACTTCCAAAAAACAATTAGAGTTGCTTAAATAGTATGAAGGACAACCTCAAGAAATAAAAGGATTACATCATCATTTTTGAAAGAAATTCTACTCCTTGATAAAGAAATAACATGATGTATGTGCATAATTCTTCTAATTAAATATGTTCTTTTTTTACCTGATAAACAGCTGCCCTGATACTATCTGCTTTGTCGGGTTCTATGTTGTGTTTCTGTGACGGCTTCTGGTCCAAGACTTTCAGAGTTCCTAAGTAGTGAGAAGAGGAAGTTGCTGATGGACTTCTCCTTATTGCACCAGATTTCTTTGAAAACTCAGAGGTCATTAATCTGAAAAGATATAAACAATCCAAAATAAAATATTACAGGTGTACTTGGCAGAGGAAAGGGTCACCAACATCTGCAACTCTTTTATTTAAAAACTACATTAAACTTAATAAATTATAATTACTTTGGAAATGACCAACAGTCTTTTCTTAGTATTCAAATAACTGTCAATGTTACTATCATCCTGTTGTTCATATATTTGCTCAAGCGGGCACCAGTAACATCTCCATTGTGAGACTTGTTACTGTTTTTGGCATACCAAATATGCCACGGGGAACTTGCCAGGCTCTGCCATGCGGGTGGGATATTCTTGGTAGCTTGCCGGGCTCTACAAGAGAGATGGAGGAATCGAACCCGGGTTGGCTGCGTGCAGGGCAAACGCCCTACCCACTGTGCTATCGCTCCAGCCTTCAAATAACTATTCAACCTAATTTAAATTTTATTGCAATAAGCTGGAGTCATAGCACAGCGGGTAAGGAAGGGTGTTTGCCTTGCACAAGGCTGACCCGGGTTCAATTCCTTGAGAGCCCAGCAAGCTAGAGAGAGTATCCTGCTCACATGGCAGAGTCTGGCAAGCTCCCCGTGGTGTATTTGATATGCCAAAAACAGTAAGAAAAAGTCTCACAATGGAGACGTTACTGGTGCGCGCTCGAGCAAATCAATGAACAACAGGAGGACAGTGCTACAGTGCTAAGTTATTTACCTATAAAGCAACTGCTTTTTTTGTGACTGAAATATTTTAAAGAAACGTGAATGGCATTTCCAGTTCCACATAATAAATACATTCTCAATAAGTATATTTTAATATTTTCTTAGATCATTTATTACACAAACCGTTCTATGTGTAAGGTAGACAAGAATAATGTTCTTTGCACTGCCAATCAGCTACAGTGGGATACTGGTAACTATTACCTGGCCGTTGCACTGGATGCTCTATTATTAGTTGACTTTTTAGTCTTCATATTTCTATCTTCAATTTTTTTCTATTAAAATAGAAAAGAGTCAAAGATATTACTCTCTGCAACTTTCTCATTTAGTCTTAGCAGCTAAGCTGCCAGTCAAATCAATCTTTTTTCAAGGTAATTATATATAAGTAGTAATCACTGAGAACTAACAAATAAATAAAGTACCATCAAGAACATGAGTTCTACTTTTTTGTTATTACAACTATTTCTGTTTGGGGGACATACTGAGTTCAAGTATCACTCTTGGTGGTGCTTGGGGACCATCTGTGGTACTAGGGATTCATCCTGGGTTAGCTGCATACAAGGCAATCCCCTTACCCCTGTACAATCTCTTAGGCCCATAGAGAGAGAGGAATATGGAGGATGAGTACCAGCATATAGCCATAACAAATGTGACTCAGTAAGAACCACAGGAGACTGAGCAGCACTATGTCCGTGGTCCCTTGCTCTGAATCACTGGCCTGGTTGGCTAAGAATCACAGGGAGTAGCCTTCATTCCTCTGAGTATGGCCTCTGAGGCCATCCTCCCAAAAAACCAATTCAGAACACAGACTGAAAATTTAAATTCCATCATAAATTTTTATAGTATAGTAGTATTCTGCTGTGATAACAATTAGTCCTACATACCACAAATATGATTCTTAAGGTTGTAATGTCACTAATAACAATTTTGTCCATCCATTTAAACATGGAAATTCACAAATGTTTCTTAAAAGATTCTCATTACAATTTGAAATATTTAAAAAATCATACCCAAAGGGATAACTAATTCTTGTTATCCTCAAAAACTATTTAGGTAGCTACATTTTTACCACATGAAAATGTACAAAAATTTACACTTAGGAATAAGTACTTTATTACCTTCAAAGTATATAATGAACTTATACCTCAGATAACTTTAAAGAAACACTGGGTTTTACAACATTCACTGAAAACCTTCCCTGGGGCTAAACTTCTGTTAAGAAAAAAAATTTGCCACTGTTAAAAGTTTTCCAGTACATTCAGAAGTACATACCATAGAAAATCAAATACTTAAAAGTTCTACACAGACTAATGATGTAGAATAATTTATATAATTACTTTTGCAGATTCTGTTGCATTGGTAGACAGTGATGTACTCTGTGATTTGGACAGTGTTGTATCCACTGTTAAGTCTTCAGCAGTTGTAATCAATTCAGTTTTCTCCTTTTCTTCTTCAAGGTCATCAGATGTCACTTGACTTCCATTAGATTTCTCAAGTGCTACAGTATCATCTTCTACCAAAAATGAATTCTCCTCATTTTCACTTGATTTCACGGAATGATTTTCAGTGTATTCTTCGTGTTGGTCTACTTTGAAACAAAGTGACAGTACTAAAACTCCATTCTGAGTTAAGAAGGTGGATAACAGACTCATTTGGTATTTACTAAACAATGACTACCTATAATCCCTTTTTTTGTGCAAAATCAATATGAAGAAAACAATCAAATTCAACTTCAATGAGCTTACTGCCTAAGCCTCCGACAGTACAGTGGGCAAGATGCCTTCCTTTAATGTAGTTGACCTGGGTTCAACCCCAGGCATCTCATATGTTTCCTTGAGCCGCACCAGACCAATTGACCTCTGTGTTCAGAGCCATGAGTAAGCCTTAAGTACCACAGAGTGTGGCCCCAAAACCAAAAACTGAAACAAAATGAAAAAAATTTACTACCACAGTGATATATCAAAGAAAATACAGCAATAGGTCTATTAAAGCATTTGACAAAAACTAATATTTACATTTCAAAAAAATCCCAGCATATTAGCAAAATAGACTGGAATAACTACCTAAAGCCAGTAGCATACCAACAAAATAGGCTAGGTGAGAGGATAATGTTGATTCTATTTTAAAACTAATGTTTATTAAGTGGAACAGGCTGTGGAAACAAGAAGCAAACATCTCTATGTCACTATAGTTACAACGTGTATTATAAGATAGTATGGATCAGGGAGACCAAGAACCCAGGCAATTTTGGAAGTGTTTACTGCACAGAGAATAAAGTCAGCCTCCGGTCAATCTATGTCTACTCAGATCAGCGTTGCCTCCCATGGCAAAAGCGTACTATAGGCACGTCTATTACTCGTCCCATGATGCCAAGGGACAAGTCAAGCTCTAGGTAGACTTCACAGAATTTGATTTCACAGAATTTCTTTTATTCTTTTTCTAGGACACTTCAGAGTTCCAAAGACAATGATATCAGTACTTTATGTGTTTTTCACCAACCTATTAGGATCCACTTCCTGGCCAATCTGTAATTTCATTGCTTGATTTTTATTCTGCTACTTAAATTAAAGCCATTGGAGGTAGGGGAAGTAAATTTTGAGGAAAACTAGATTGAAAATTACTTTATAATTAAGGTTGACATTCATAATTAGAGTACTCATGATTCAAAGCACCAGTCTGAATTCTTCAGAATATCTAATCAATGTATTAAAAGTACATGGATTTGGAAGCCAAAGGTTCAAATGATGAACCCATAGGTGACCATGGTTCTTTAATATTAAAAAAAATAGTTTTTTTTCTCATCTGTGAAATTACACTACATAGTAAGTGTTAAATTCAAGTTATACATCCTATTCTTAAACATCTACATCTATCAACTCCTATTAAGTTACATGTTTGCACTATGGAAACATTGCTAAAACTCAAACCTTACGTTTACTATGTCATACACTATGCTGTTACTCTAAGTATATGACCTCTATTAACTCACTGAAATCTCACAATTGACCTACAAGAAAGGTTAACTCTTCTAATTCACAAATTTTAGAGATCATTTATAATGGTCTATCATAATGATTCAATAAAAAAGTTAAATAAAAAATGGGGCCGGAGCGATAGCACAGTGAGTAGGGCATTTGCCTTATATGCGGCAAACCCGAGTTTGAATCCCAGCATCCCATATGGTTCCTCGAGCACGGCCAGGGGAAATTCCTGAGTGCAGAGCCAGGAGTAACCCCTATGCAATGCCGGGTGTGACCCAAAAAGAAAAAAAGAAGTTAAAAAAAACTTTTTAGAGATCATTCTGTAGGATCTGATGCGGTAGTTACCTTGCTCATAAAATTGTACCTGGATTCAAATCCAGGTTAACTTCACACTAACAAACCATGTACCCGTTGTGCTACACAATGCTGGACTAACACACACACACCCCCCCACACACTTACATACACACTCACATACACACTCACACACACACACCTCAATAAGGGGCAGTCAGTGACACATATTAACATGGGCCAGGGAATGGGCAAATGTCTAGATGCATAGTATGACTACATTTTCACAACAGCCCAGTTGAGTGAGGGCTTGCCAAAAATTGGGAAAACTGACGTGCTGAGAGATTAAGTTCAGCATCTAAACTGACAGGCCTACTAGCAAACTGCATAGATGGAATTTAAAAAAAGCAAATATAAATATCATCCTTGTATCTATGCAAAATGATATTTCTCTCACTAACAGTATTCTAAGCTACAGAGTTTATAAGTAAAATAAGAAAACAGTAAAGAGATATAACTACCTTTTATGGATACTTTTTCTTCAGATCCTGGTACAAAAGAATCTTCAAGAATTTCTTTAAGAGATGATGATGATGGACTTGTTAACCATGAATCCTGTTTTGAAAGAGATGCACCTGTCATGTAAGTCTAGTTCTCCAGATTTATAAGGGCTTAAAAGCATCATTAAGACTTAATTTGTCCCTCTGAAATTTGTACTGCTCCTGAGATAACAAAAGCATTCATCTAGGAGAGGCTAAGCCTTTTTTTTCAAGCCTGGATATTTCGATCACAGAAGGCCCACTGAAAAGCAATCCTCCTCCTTAATTGTCATCTCTCTACTTGGGACTGATCCTCAGAACTCCCTAAAAATGAAATTACATAAAAGTTTACGGCAAAGATTTGGTTTCCCTTCTAAGAAATATAAAGACAGCGAGTAAAAATCTTTTGTTTAAAACCAGTATTAGAAGCTGGGCAAATGAATGCAATTTTTAAAGCCAAGTAAACAACTATCTGTGTTCACTTTAGATAGGAATGTATGGATTCAATTCCCTTGAGCTTCCCCCAAAATCCTGAAAATTACCTCTGACAAAAAATATTTCTGTCTAAACTAAATATCTCTTTATAGAAAATACGCTAGCCTAAAAATGATGATATAATATAAAAAGTTAATTTTTAAAAACAATACATTTTACTTTTTTTAACCAATAATTTATAGGTACAAATAAAAGTATATTGTCAAAAGAAGTAAACAGATTCAGATTCAATCCCTGGCTTCCCATACAGTTCCCCAAATAACACCAATAATAATTCCTGAGTTAAGATCCGGGTGCAACCAACCCCTAAACATTGCAGGGTGTGGCCCCCAAACCAAACTCTTCCCTCAACCCATCTTGGAAAGTGACAGGGGGTAGAACACTGGAGTTCCTGTGAAAGTAGGCAACACTTTTCAATTTTCAAGTGAGCAGTATTTGCCTGCGAACATTCCTTCCAGAGAATTCAGAGGGAGTGGAAATAAAATGTAGGATCAAAGATCAGTAGATTGGGGGAGGAGCCACAGAGGGCATGAACCCCAGATCTGTGTAGGAAAATTCAATCCAAACACTTGCTCATGGATGCGTGGTATGGAGAAAAGCCAGAGATCCTGTGGGAGTCACAGCTGCTAGAAATGGAAAACACTAGGCAGAGATTTCAACAGATATGCATGGCATGGGAGACAGCACTAGAAATGCAATTTCAGTATAATTTCAGTATGTTAAAACACATGTTCAGAGGAACAAAACAGAATCAGAAGTCCCCAGAAACAGAAAGGGTGAAGAAACAGAAGTGGTACCCTCCTCTTAAAAGCAAAATGAAAGCAATCATAGCAACCTACCTAGAGATCAGCTAGATGCGGCGATGAGCAAAGACTCGACTGACACAAATGTCTATGTTAAATGTGATGACAGTATCAATTTTAAGGAGATGGTGATGACTTACAGATGCATCTTGTAATTCACAAATCACAAAGAATATAGTGCAAATAGTAGGTACAGCTGAAAAGGCAGCAGAGGAATCACAATGACAAACTAAAGTGTGATAAACTTAAAAAATGGGCGGGGGAGGGGCAGAAAAGGAATTTGAGAGATAAACAATCTATTTTTTCTTTTTTGAAGTTTCAGGGATCCGATCTGGGGCCCCACACATGCAAGGCAAGTACTCCACTGCTGTGCCACACCGCAGTCCTAATACCAATATTTTAAAAGAGAAAAAATTAAGCAAATGGCAACAAATTGGGCCTAAATGTGCTTATATTAAAATATGGATCAAACACTTGTGAATGGGATAACAACTACTCATAAGTGGACAATTAATTAATCAGAAAATTGTCAGATGAGAATTGACAGCCAACTGTAATTACTCAAAAAGAAAAATAATTTGAGAGGAAAATGATAAGAAAAAATAAAAGAAATTAAAGTGAAAATAAAAGGCATCAAAAAGTGGAGGCTGTATGGGGGAAATTTATAATTTAAAAAATTTTATTAGGAATGTAAAAAATTAATATAATGGTACACTTTCTAACAAAAAAAAAGAAAATTAAACCAATATAAATTAAAAGAATGAAATCAGTTAAATAAAAATGATGAAAAATTAACCAAGTTAAGTGTTAGTTCTCTGAAAAGTTTAATAAAGAGAGCATGCCTCATTACTAGATTTCATAAGACAGATGTTAAATCTTATTTTAGAAATAAAAATTGACAGTCCTTCTGTCACTGAAAGGGTAAGGAAATATTTATGGTTATAAATTCAACATCTAAACTGAAACTGACACATTTTGCAACAGATATAAATTATCAATATGTAAAATAACAAATCTGAATACAAAAAATCTATCAAAAAATCAAATATAATGTGAAAAGCCTTCTCGACAAAGAAAATTTCAGTTCCAAAGAAATACCACAGGTAGATTCTATTATGAAAAAAAAAAAGATGTCAAACTTTTGTTTTCATATCAAATACACTTTTAGAAAATGAAGGAAGACAACCCCCAATTCATATAATTCCCAAGGTTAATAACGCACTATGGCAAAAAATTACAGATAGTTTTTATAAGCATAGATGTAGAAGTCAAACACAGTAAAAACAAAGTCTCACAATGGAGACGTTACTGGGCCCACTCGAGAAGTCAACAAAATAAAACAAATCCTACAATATTATATACCAAAATTATCAGGCAGATTTTATACCAGGTATACTATATTAGTTTAACATATGATTATTTGTGTGTATGAGATGTGCGCATTCGTGTGTACACGTTTGTGTGCATCTCAATGTCGTGACATACAGGAAAGTCAGGCAATACAGGAACAGGTACAATATTAGTAAGTGTATACAATGATAAGAAATTTGAACATATTTGAATGAGGGAAGAAACAGATTTTTCAAAAGGTTGAGATACAGGGCTGGAGAGATAATGTAGTGGGCAGGGCACTTGCCTTACACGTGGCTGACCTGGGTTTGTCCCTGACACCCCATATTGTCCTCACAGCGCACTAGGCATGATCCCTGAGTGCCAGGCAGGAGAAACCCCTGTGCACACCAAAGAACTCAAAGTAAAGGTCAAGAGAGACAGATAAAATAAGAAAAGGGGCTGAACAAAAGAGATGGGTAAATCCAGAGCTTAAAGAACATTCAAAACACAGTCAACGATCTTAGTAAGAAGAATATGGAAATTTTATGTTATTAAAAATAGAACTATCTGATATACCCAATAACCAGACACTAGCTGCACATTTATGACTGTATTACATGAAAGTGGTCTCAAGTTTATCCCATCAATATGACAATGCTATGAGATAAAAGAAAATCCACCAGACCAAATGTTATGCACTGTCACTGTCACTGTCACCGTCCTGTCACTGTTCTCCCATTGTTTATCGATTTGCTCAAGCGGGCCCAGTAACATTGGGAGACTTGTTACTGTGTCTGGAATATCAAATATGTCACGGGTAGCTTGCCAGGCTTTGCCAGGCGGGCGAGATACTCATGGTAGCTTGCCAGGCTCTCCAAGAAGGGAGGAGGAATTGAACCCAGGTCAGTCGGGTTGTCTGCACACAAGGCAAATGCCCTACCACTGTGCTATCGCTTCAGCCCCTGTTACTATATAACAAATACGATAAAACAGAACAGATAAGTGGGTCAAAGAGACTAAAGTGATGAAACATAGTTTGTCTACTAAGTAGCAGGATTGCAGGTAGATAGTACTTTTGCTGAATCTTTGTCTTAAGACGATGCAACTTTCTAAACCTTAGGGATAGTGTTTTGGTTTTTGTTTTTAAATCAAAGTGCATATAAATGGTGGCAAAGAGGACTGAAACTTAGGAATCTGTACCAAACAGGTGTTATGAAGAGTGTCTCCTAAAATTCATGCCACCCAGATGCTCAGAGAGAGCCCGACTTGAAAGTGGCACTCAGCAGCCGGAAGGGCTGAGACCAGCCCAGCTGGGTCTAGGGCGGCGCCAAGATCCTAAGGTGCAGTTATCAATTTAAGGAAAGACAAACACAGAGGCACAGGGATGGAGGCCACCGGAAGGTGGAAACGTGAATGGGACGGGGATGCTGGAGCCAGTGGAGATAGGCAGAGGCCGGGACTGTGCAAGCTCCTCCCTAGAGCCGTACGGGGAGCCCGGGGGACCCCACACCTTGACCTCGACTTCTGGCCTCCAGAATGAAGAAATACGTTCAGTCATTTTAAGTCCTCTAGTTTGGGGCAACCTATTCTAGAAACGATAGCAAGCGAATACAATAGCTTTATAAAATAGAAAATCACTGAATTTTACAAATCCTCGTTTCTGTTCAATTTCAGTACCAACTGGAAAATACCACCATGAAACCAGGCAGAAATATATAATGGTCTGCTTCACTGGTAAAGCTTAAAGACAGAAGCTGTGAATCTGTGCTCTAGTGTGCTGAGACATCTGCTCTAGATCAATCTTGGAGGGATTCAGGCCCTAAATAATCCAAAGACACTCCACCCAGAAGCTCTACCCAGCCCTCTGATGTCTGGGAACCAAAGCCCAACAGGGCCTTGCTGCAGGCAAGGAATAGGCAAAGGAAGAGTTTAGCCAGGTACTAGTTAGTTCCTTTCCCCCTCTGCTCAAAGCCCTTTCTGTAGAAGGGATATTTTCCCCACCCTTTTCTCTTCCTAAACATGAGAAGGAAGTTGACTGATCACTGTGAAACATAAAGAGGAGGGGAGAGCTACTCGCCCCCAATAAAAGTACACAGTAAACTCCCTTGCCATTTGGTTTATACTAAAGAATATAAAACAGGGTCAAGAATATTTAATGTATATTCGCTAAGTGAAGTAAAACTAAATTAAGAAAATTATAGCAACTACATTGTCTAAAGGTGCAAATTATGTAATTTAAACACCCACAAAATTATAAAATCCTACAGTTAAAAGATACACAGTATTGTAGAAATTCAAAAGGGACACTATTTTTGCACATCTTTCTCTAAAACAGATGCATTTTATAATTACCAGGGTGCTATGCTTAACTGGCAGTTTTCTTCTTGGCAGGAGATGAAGAAAAGGTGCCCTGCCTTACAACCAACCGATAGTACATTAGATTCAATGCTATGCAGAGTATTAAGAAAAAAAAACCTTGAAGTTTTATGAATGGTCGAAGAAATCATAAACGTGACAGCCAAGCACACACACACACTGAGACAAGTGGCTGAGCAGTGCTGACCTCAGTGTCCAGGTTTTCAGAGCAGGAGGTCCTCTCCGCCTCTGGAAGCCTGCCACCGAGCCTCGGGAGGGGCAACGGTGCAGGGGACTCCGACTCCTCTCCGAGGGCAGCTTCTCCGTCTTCTCCGAGTCCATCTTTCTCATCTCTGGGGCCAGGCTTCTTCAACATGCTCCTGGGCCGAGGGCATGGCTTAAAGTGGTTATTGGCTTCGAGACCACCATTGTTTTCTGCTGAAAAAGAAAATATTTTGTAGTATATGCAAAAGGAAATAACCTTGGGTGCACCTACACCCCAGGGTGCTACCGCAAATTCAGTCTAGTGCACCATCCCCTGGGCTCTTTGTCCTGGAGAGTCCAGAGACACTCACAAGCTCCAGGGTACACCGGCGATGGTCCAGAGGAACACCAGGGACGGTCCAGAGGAACCCCAGTAATGGTCCAGGGGAACACCAGGGACAGTTCAGGGGAACCCCAGTAAAGGTCCAATGGAATACCAGCAATGGTCCGCAATCCAAAGTTCTGAGCAAAGCTACCAGCCAGGAACTGACCAGTGAACTGGGTTTTTTGAAAGGTAAATTTTTCTAGTCAACAACAACAAAAAGCTTGTCTGTTTATACTTCTGAAAAATAAGTGGTCTCACCCATGAAATCTTTACTTCCTGCTCCTATTACAGGACCTCAACCCAACCAAGAAAGTGACCATATCCTTGACCATGGATTCTTAAGTAACAAAGATAAAAAAATAATAAACAAATAAAATCATGAGGTAAGGGGAAATACTATGACGAGTTTGGTGTCTGAGGGATGGAGTACTATGTCTCTCCTGAAGGAAAAAAGGAAAACTCAATGACCTAGAAGTTACGGTTGTTCAAGTTCATAAAACTGCTCTGGCAGCTGTTAAAATTTCTTAGTTATCACTAAGAAATTACTATTTCCAAGTTTATTTATTATTATATGTTTCTATTATTTTGGTTTTGGGTTCATACCCAGTGATACTCAGGGCTTGCCCCTGCTCTGTATGCAGGAATTACTGCTAGCAGTGCCTGGGGTACCGGATGGGATGCTGGGGATGGAGTCAGGGATTAATCGAACCGAGGTTGGCAGTGCGCAAAGCAGCCGCCCTACCTGCTCTACGATTAACTCCAGCCCCTACTTCCAAGTTTACAAGACTCTAATGCTAGTTATTCTTCCATCACTCAGAATATGCTACAATGGTTTTTCACAGCATTTCTACCCATTGTACCTATTATACATATTTAAAGTTTCAAAAGTACATCAGATTAAAAACTTTGCTTTACCTATAAATGCCACTAGACTACTCCATTACTTTAACAAATTGGTACAACTATGAAGGTGTCAGTGCCAGTTTTACTTTATTCAAAATTCTGGCCAAATGCTCAATTCCAAATCCCAGGGGTTTCTTAGATTGAAACCTCTGTATCCAAAACTCACATTCACCACACCCTGCCGAATATACCTGCTAACTTTCTCATTCATCACTTTCTGTATCCCGTTTTTCAGTTTCTCTACTGCTCTTTCCTACATATTGTCTCAGGGATATTTTATATTTATGTAGATCAGATCATGCTGTGCTTTGCACAAAATTCTTCAATGGCTCTGCATGACAGAATAAAGCTTAATTGCCTTTGAGGCAGCTAAAAGCTTTCGCTGGTTTGTTCTGGCTTCCTGAGCTGCCCTCTCTGCTGGCATTAGTCCCCGGCATTAATCTGTGTTCCTGAAATGCTGGGCTAATGGCTGTTGGGCTCTTATGCCACAACCCCTACTGCTGCTATACATTTACCCAAGCTGATCCCTTTGCCTAGAATGTCGGCTTCCTGCTTCTCCTCTCATGAATGCTTGCATGTCTTTTGGTCTCAGTTTAGGCAGAATATTGTATAATGTCTGAAAGAAGGGATCAAGTCAAAAAAATAAGTTTTCCACAAGAACACTTAGTAAGAGACCTTATTAAAATACCAAGTTCACATAGTACGATTAATATAGACACTACATTCTGCGTCATCCTGATATCTTTTAGGTGACTGTTTTAGGCAACTCATATCGAATATTGGTTATTTATTCACACTTCTATACGGCTGGAGCGATAGCACAGCGGGTAGGGCGTTCGCCTTACAAGCGGCCAACATGGCCGACCCGAGTTCGATTCCTCCGCCCCTCTCGGAGAGCCCGGCAAGCTACCGAGAGTATTCGATATGCCAGACACAGTAACAACAAAGTCTCCAATGGAGACGTTACTGGGCCCGCTCGAGCAAATCAACGATCAACGGGAGGGCCTTTACCTTTTACCTTTACCTCTATACGTCTTGTGTAAATCACTTAATGCCCACCTATTGGTTAGTTGCTCATAATTATCTAAGTCTTATATAAATCACCTTATACAATCACTTAATGCCCACCTAACCTGGATTTTCCTTTGATAAGATTAGGGGGAAGTTCCTAAAGTGCCGCAAGGTTCCAAGAGTCTATGTGCAAAGTAAACGCTCCTGGCCTGCAGCAAAGTAATACTGATTGTGGAAACAATTTTCTTCCTTTTCTGGTGAGTTTCTCCTCAGCGCCACCCATGTGAGTTTGAATGGATTAATACATATCTCTTGCATTCTCCCTGAGAAGGGCGGGCCCATACAAACTCCCTGCAGGACTGCCCTGAGCAGAACAGGTGGTCAGGTCGTCAGAATTCTCCCATCTGAGCTGGAGAGATGGAAGCTAGCTGATGTGGTCTAGGAATTGCTCTCGGCCTCTGCCCTTGTGAAGCAAAGGGCTGCCTAACAGATACCAGAATGGGGTGAGCAGAGAGAAGAGGAGGGGAGAATGACCATGTCAGGGAACAGGGGAGGAAGAGAGAGAAAGAGAGAGAGAGAGAGAGAAAGAGAGAGAGAGAGAAGAGAGAGGAAGAAAGAGAGAATCCAGAGAATCCAGATAATCTACTCTATATGACTATGTCTCTAAATTTAACCCCACTAAAGCAAGCCTTGGGGGGGCCAGGGTGATTGTACAGCAGGTAAGGCACTTGATTTTCATGTGGTCAATCTGGGTTCGATTTCTGGTACCTCATATGCCCCCAATCCCCACACGAGTGACCCCTCAGTGTAGAGCCAGAGTAAGTAAGGCCTGACACTGCCAGGAGTGGTTGAAAACCCCAAATGCATAAATAAACAAATAAATTAAGCGAGAAAGGCCTTCTGAAAACCCCAAATACATAAATAATAGGTAAATAAATAAATAAAAGCAAGCAAGGCCTTCAGAGAAGGCTCAGCAGGAAAGCGAACTTCCCTTCCAACTGATCTTTGGAGCCCAGACATTTCAAATACTGTGTCCTGACTCCAATCACTACCATCTGTCAGAGGCTGCTATGACTGTCATCCCCACAGCCTTCCCCCAGGCCTTCACAGGAAACTCTCCTGTGATCTTACTGCGCCTTTTCCTCACTGCCGAGCAACTCTGTAATCTTAGCCCGGCTCAGAAATGTGTGTCCCTCCAAAATTCTTCCGTCGGAGTCCAAACACCAACGGTGATGGTACTGGGAGTGACCCAGAGGAGGATCCTACGTGACCACACTGGCATCCTGATCCATTTCCAGCTTCTAGAGCTGGAAGGCGCAGTTTTTATTGTGGATGAGCCATCTGGCATGTATTATTCCGTTAGCAGCTTTGAAATGACCACGACAGCGATACTGGGTCTGTCTGTTTAATGCCACCTTCTTTTCTCAGGAAGAGAAGGGGAAAGAGGTGGTCTCTCAAGCGGTTGAGCTCAGAGCCTGGGGGCTCTCCCAGCGATCGCTGGCCTTTGGCCTGCAGCCTGAAGATGCAGTGCTTCTCAGCGGACCATGTGGTGCCAGGGATGGTACAGACTCTGCAGCAGGCCATGTGTGCTATCTATCTCTCTAGCCCGTATCACATTCTTGTTTGGTTTTTCGGCAGAAGGGGTTAAAGGGCCATCCTTGGCAGTGCTCAGGGCTTAGTCCTGACTCAGGGATCACTCCTGGAAATGCTCAGGGGACCAAAGGTGATGCCAAGAATCAAAAAGGAGTCAGCCGCATTGAAGGTTAGCACCTTTGCCCCTGAACTAGCTCTCTGGCCTGGATTCTTACTTACCGCTGGAACATCTCAAAATATAATGTATCATAATAAAGATATTTACGAAGGGTAAATAAAATAATCTACTTATGGGTATTAATAAATGCCAATAATAAACACTAGTACAATAATTTATTCAATTAAAACTAAAAATAAGATGAATAAAAGCATATAGTGCTGAATTTATGCCGCTATTATTCTAAGACTGTAAAAATGAAAATCATTTAATTGCTTCCAAGTCTTGGTGTGGTTCAACTATTAACCCCGTTGTACAGATAAGTAAAAATGAGGAACAAAGAGTCCACAGTCAGAAAAACTAAGTTGCACTATTAAAGCAAAAGCATGACGGCTCTAAAGCTCATGATGTTAATGTTAAAAATAAAAACAATACATCCTGCAAAGATCACTTTCTATAATCAGTTATTATAGTTATTCCAGAAAAGTCAGAGTCTGGCTACCGAAGCTTTTACAAAACATAAGAAAATAAAGAAAATTTGGGATTTTAATATTTTTAATATTTTTATAAAACACTAACTGGTACTTAGAAATATATTGCCATATTAAAAATATGCTCCCAACTCTAAAAATAGCTCCATACTCAAAAAACTCCAAAACTTTAAAGCATACAAATATGTTCATTAACTGCAGTCCTTAATAACTAACCATTTACTATTTATATATTCAAATGTTAATGAATTCTATAGGCATAAAATAAATATTCCTGAATAAATGCCTTACTGTTCAATATTAAATACTTAGTAGTTCATATGTCACACACTCTCAATACTATTGGCCTCAGCTATTTTCAATTTAGAGAGGCAAGGAATAATGACTTTAATATACTTTATACAAAAATATTGTCAGAACTATTGGCAAATTCTCAGAAAGAAAAAATGCATATAAGTTTTCTAAATGCTCTGCTGCAAATTAATATAAGAAATTACCTACTGGGGTATTTTCATATTACACAAACTGAATTGCAGTTTGCCAATGAGTAAAACTAGTAAGAGTTTGTGTATTGAGCATTTAATCCTGGTGCCATCTTGTGGTTAAAGGACAGTATCTCAGAACAATCTCTCTTTTGTGGGATATAAAGCAGCATAGTAAGTAATGGCCCAAAAAAGAATCTAGGAACGGGTCTACAGAACTGAGCTTACCAAAGTGGTGAGATGGGGAGGGAGGGTAATGGGGGAGGGAGGGGCCTCAGTCAATGGTGGAAGAAAATGGACATTTGGGTGTGGGGGGTGGTGTTGAAATGTTATACACAAAAAATCCAATCACTGACAACAGTAATAGAAAGTTGTAAATCACGGTGACTAAATAAGATTATTAAACAAATATGGTATCTATTCATCTGGTCACAGATTTGCACAACTGTATTACATAGGAGGATGACTGATGACTACCATAAAGCTCTTATTATAAACTCTGTCACATCAATTTTTGGTTATCAAACTATATTTTCTTAATTAATCTAATAAAAAGCTTACAATTAATCTAATAAAAATCAGGAGTTAATAACTACAAATACAGGTTTCCAAGCTTAATGATGCCTATGTCTAGTCTCTCATTGAAAATTCATCTTGCATAATTCTTGTTTGTTTGGGAGCCACACCCAGCAGTGCTCAGAGCTTACTCCAGGCTCTGCACTCTGGGATCACTCCTTGTGGGGCTTTAGGGGTCAAGTGGGGTGCTGGGGAGCAAACCTGGATTGGATGCATGCAAGGTAATGCAAGGCAAACACCCTACCTCCCGTACTATCTCTCCTGCCCCACGTCCTTCTTTATTAATGGTTTCATAAAGCTCTCTCACAAAGAAATTGGTTTGACGTTCCCCAAACCCCGTGTAATGGCAAGGACTGACCTGTGGAAAGTACTTTGGGAAATGGTGAGGTACCAGATTATTCATCATTTTTAACTACGCTCCCTTCTCTCCACCTTTGATTCTATGCAGTACCCTGGGAAGGTACATCTCAGCGTGTTAATTATGCTTCATTATGCCTCTTGCTTACATTTTTGCAAAATTTTATAGTCCACAGAACACACTTCAAAGTATTCTCTTAACAATTCTGTAGGACAGGAAGAGCAGGTTTTAGACTCCTGCTGGAGGATAGTAAGCCTTATCCTATTTGCTGAGGTCACACACATAATTAATACACAGTGGTGTTTTTTTCTAGTTTTTCTGGCTCTGCCTATATCACCTCCCCTTCATTTTCGAGACAAGTGGATTGGGGGTTGGAGAGAGTGGTTCTCTAATACAGGTAAAGGTAAAGGTAAAGGTAAAGGCCCTCCCGTTGATCGTCGATTTGCTCGAGCGGGCCCAGTAACGTCTCCATTGGAGACTTTGCTGTTACTGTGTCTGGCATATCGAATACTCTCGGTAGCTTGCCGGGCTCTCCGAGAGGGGCGGAGGAATCGAACTCGGGTCGGCCATGTTGGCCGCTTGTAAGGCGAACGCCCTACCCGCTGTGCTATCGCTCCAGCTCTAATACAGGTGTGAAGTAAATAAAGGTTTACCGTATTCCTAGTGACACATAATATCCAAAGTTTGAAATATTTACCATTATTTACTAATAACATAAAGGACAGATATTTTTATGAAGATTAGCATCAATTAATATCTTTTTCCTATTTAACGGAAAAAGGAGGACTGGAAGAACTCAAACCTTTGACTTTCCAGGCCATCTGTCAGTGTAGTAGACCTGAAGATCTCAAAAGGACTGGGGCCCACTACACTTCATCTTTGTTGTGTCTGAAGCTCAGAAGGACCCGGTGCAAACTACTGTAACCCCAGATCACACCAAGACCATCCCATCAGAAAACTGAAGTTTGATGGATTTGCTTAGGGAATAGATACAAAATTAAAACTGCCCTTAAAAAAGGGGTTTGCCTAAAGGAGAGAGAGAACACAAGGGATTGCCCTGCCACAGAGGCAGGGTGGGATGGGAGGGATGGGGGTGGGAGGGATACTATCCATGGTGGTGGAAAATGGGCACTGGTGGAGGGATGGGTACCTGATCATTGTATAATCGAAACCCAAGGACAAAAAATTGTAAATCTACAACTGTACCTCATGGTGTTTCACTAATAAAAAAAAAAACTGGACGGCAACATGCAAAAAAATTGGCTCAGATCTCTGCCTAACAGCACATACAAAAGTAAGATCCCTTAATTATTAAGTATGTTTTGGAAATACATGATGTGCTAGAGCTGCAATATTAAAGAAAACAACTGTTTACAAACAAAAAAAAAGGGGGTTTGGAGCAGTGGTTCTCAAAGACTCAGGTTCTCAAAGACGATGCTGGGCTTTTGTCTGTTCGTTCAAAAAATGATTTCCAGGGGTGCTCTGTGGTTTCTCTCCTGAAAGGAGGATGGCAGCCCCCAAAAGTCTGGGAATCTCAGTCGAAGAGATTGAATTAACAGCAACAACAGAACTCCCTCCTTTAAAACCTAAAAATGTCAAAAAGATGTCCTGGGGAATGAAGAGAGAGTACCGTGGGGGTGGGGAGGGGGCATTTGACTTGCACATGCCCAACCCAAGTTCAACACCCAGCACCCATCATGGTCCTTCAAACCCTGCCAGGAGCGATTCTTCAGTAGAGCTAGGAGTAAGTACGTACTAAGGACAGCCCCTTACTCACTCCCACACCCCCAAGAAGATTTTCTGATAAAATGGTGATAAGGAAATGTTTGTTTGAAGGACAAGTTCCAGTATTGCTGTGACTCTAATCTCTGAAGTATGAAATGAATTGGGAGGATTTATCAAAACTTTACACCTCAAAACAAAAATGCAAGTGGCTGTGCCTAGGCCAGGTGCTTCTGAAGTCACAGCTGTGGACAAAGAAAGATACTCTGGCTTCCTGAGGTAGCTGAGCACACCCCAGAAGGAACACACAACAGCCTATCAACTCTACAGGGTTTCTCTCTCTGTCTTGATCATTTTGATTAATGTCTATAAAACGGAAAAGTTCACTGTGTTTGTTTTTTCTTTAGTATCTACGAGTGATCAATTCAAGTTTTTCGAGGACTGATTATCTCAAAATAAGTTCTTAAGAAATGCAGTTGTGGGAACTTAACAAATTACCTGAGGGTGTGTTTTGGATGGAGAGAATTCTCGGCTTCGGCTTCATTTCAATTTTCTCCTGTTCAATGTCCTGTTCTTTGTTTTGCGACTCAGGTGAGGGAATTACAGCCCCATCTTCACAGCCACCGGGGGCTGTTTCCTCATCATTTTTGATGGGAAGTATTGGCTCATCTTTTATTATGTCACTAATTGATTTCTTGGTTTTCAAAAATGACAGTTTTGGAGAATTTCTCTCTTCATCTGATAGGTGGAAGTCATTATTTTTCTTTTTAGTTGAATTTTCATCAACTGAGGTGTCAGAAAAGTCACCTAAGGAAACTGAAAGATAGGAAAGAAAAATATTTTCTACAGAGTATTTTTTAATAGTGTATTTTTAAAGTTTCAAAGGTTTACATTAATCAAAAATTACCTTAAAGACTAGAAACAAAGATCTATTTTATAAACAGAAAACATGACTCCAGAAAAAAGTTAACTTCAGCAGTTTTTATTAAAACATAAATGATAAAAACGTCAATTTAATTTATGCAAAATATACTCATCCGGTATAACCAGTGTAATAAGTAATACTATTATTGACCGAGAGAAGTCACTCTAAGTCTTGAAAAATAATAATCAATCCTGGGATAGTTAAGTTAGATACTATGAAACTTTTATTTGCAATTTCATGGTATAAAATTAAAATATATGTACACAAAAGAACTTATTTTTATCTGATTGCCAATTATAATTTTCTCCATAAAAATATGAGCATTTATCTGTACAAAATACTAGAACTTAGGGAATAATAACACTTTTAACTATCCAGCAATGAAGTGACTATTGTTTTGATTATTTTCTTTCCTTTTTCTTTCTCCCCTTGGGGTCATACCTGGTGCTGAGGGACTAACCCTGGCAGTGCTTGGAGAATCCTATGTGGTGCCAGGGGTCAAACTTAGGTTATCTGCATGCAAGACAAGCACCCTACCTGCTATCTTATCTCTCTGGTCCAGTTGATTGTTTCCATGGAGAACTTATGGAATTTTTCATTGAGTATTAAGGTATAAAACATTATATTTTAAGCTTAGGATTCTGTATACTCTCTTCAAAAACCTACCATGCTAATATTTTCACATAAAGATAAGAAAAAAAATGAAATTATGCCAATATTGGTATCCAAGGTTTCTAATTAATTCATTCTAATTTGGAGAGGAGGCACAAAGTGGTGCTTGGGAAGTCCAGAACTGCAGTTCAGAGCCAGAAAATGCAGCACTGTTGTGGCCCAGCGTGCTAGAAGCTGCCTGGCTCACCCCTATGGTACCAGGGGCCTCCAGGTTCACACCTGCTATGCTCAGGGAACTCTATGTTGTAGGATCAAACTGGGATTTGCCCATGGAAGGCACTTTAACCCCTTTACTATCTATGTAGCCCCTCTCCTGGATGTCCTTTTTTTTTTTAGGTGAGGTGGGGTGGGGAGGGGGGATAGTTGGGGATACCCAGCTGTGCTGGGGGCTTATTCCTATCTCTGTGCTCAGGGTCACTGCTGACAGTGCTTGGGGGATCATATGTAGTGCCAGCAGTTGAAACCGGGTCAGTGGTTTGTAAGGTTACCCTACTTGCTTTACTATATCTCTGGCCCCATTACTGGAGTTTTGGATTGTTTATGTTTTGGGCCCACACCCAGCTGTGCTCAGGACTTAGACTTATTCTTGGCTTTGTGCTGAGTGGTCACTCATGATGGTGCTTGGGGTGGACCACATATGTGGACCATATATGTGATGCTGGGGATTGAACACAGGTTGGGTGCATGAATCTACCTCTGTACATTCTCTCCAGCCCCATTAAACAGACCTACTATTATAGTCATAAAATTTGATTTCTATAAGAATATAAAAATGAGTCTGACACACACCAAAATTTTGTTCTAAGGACTCAGTTATTATCTTGCTGTAATCAAATACTCATAGAGTTTGACCTTAAAAATGAACTTGAGGGGCTGGGGTGATAGTATAGCAAGAAAGGCACTTGCCTCACATATAGCTGGCCCAGGTCCAATCACCAGCATCCCTAATGGTCCCTCGAGTTCCACCAGGAGTGATCATTTGCACAGAGTCAACGGTAAGCCCTAAGCACCAATAAGTGACCCAAACCTCCCCACCTTAAAAAAATTAATAAAAATAGACTTGTCTCTTTGACTAAAATCTGCTTGATTTGTATTGATTTGTATTTTCTGCTTGATTTGTATTGATTTGTATTTTCAAGTATCCATTTAAAACAACCAAGGGCAATCATATAGCTTCTTAAAAACTAACAGTGGATTTTTATCCACAGAAAAACATCAGGAAACTTAAATGGTTCTATTGGAGGAATGGATGAAATGTAACTAAGGAATTTAAAAAAAAAAATGGAAAGAAAAGTGGTTTACTTGTCCACAGTCTCACATACCAATCTCATCACTGTCGAAATCATCCGAGTACTCAGAACTCCTCTGTCTGGCTGAACGAGCTGTAATTGCCTTTATTAGTTCATCCTAAAATAAGATAATGAAAATTATTTTCACCTAAACTGGGATGCCTCACGTTCAAAACTAATTTTTTTTTACAGAAGTAATAAGATCTTCTAAGCACAGAGGTTTCATTTAGCTAACAAAATTCCACTGAAAATCCATCTGCTATTATAAATTCAAGTTGAGTATCTATGTTGAGTATCACAGACAAGATTCAGTTTCTCTCTTCATGGGGCTTCCAGTTCAATTAGGGAGCCAAATAATAGTAAGGACATTTTTACACAGGGTTGCTGATAAACCAATATTCTGGAAGACACTTTCACTTTAAGATCTTTTAGCATATTAAGGAAACAGACATAATGTATATTTTGGGGCATACGCTTGGTTTTGCCAGAGGATCAATACAAGGACTGATATATCAAGAACTCAGTACATCTGGGCAATGCTTGCTACCCCACCTAGGGTTGCACCAAGTGATTTAAGGATCAGGAGGTACCAGGGATTGAACCAGGGTAGACCACATGCAAGACATGTGCTTTAACCCTTAAACTAGCTCTCTAGTCCCCAGATATAACCACTATTTACATTTGAGTTTAAAACAATAGTGACTACACAGAGAAAAATTAAATACCATAACGTTCCAACAAGAAAAAATGTACATGAAAACAGCAATTCAAGGTTGCTAATTTTAAAAAGCTGACTTAATGCTTATGGAAGTTAAGAACCTCCCTGAGGTTAGTTTGATAGTTTTAGGGCAATTACAGGAACAGTTAGTACACTTCACCACCATCATCTCATTAGGAATGAAGACTTACTTCACTTTATATAGAACTGATCCTAGGACCATCCCAATAGAGTTTACTTTGTACAATTGCTCAAAATAAATATGGTCTCACTTTACCTGAAAAGTAGTTCTTTTGGTGACTTTTGGACTCTTTGTATATGCCAGTGTTGTGCTAAAAACTTCATTGGACATAGTGTTTTTGTTATTTGTACTCTTGGTCAGGAAATGGTAGGTATAATGCAATTTCTGTCAGTGGCTGAAACACACAAAAAACCCGAGATATTTTGCATGCTTAAGTATTATTCTATGATCATATTTGGTATAAAATGGGAGGGAAAACCCGAGGAAACAAGAAAGAAAGCATCATATTTGAACTCTGAGCAACATCTTCACCTAATATGCAAACAGTCTGTTAAAAAAAAATCCCCATTATGTAGATTGAAAAAATGTAGATTGAAGTTATTCCAAACAGTTTTGCAAGCTGACAACTGGTTAATCCTCAAAACGCAAAACGAACGCTTATATTCATTTCCCTTCCACTGGGGGGACAGAAAAGGTACCACTGCCATTGCCTACAAATCCGTCATAAAGGCGACCACGAGGACTGTGAGGCAGGAGGGGAAGAAGGAGGGAGGAGAGAGAGAGAGTGAGAATGAGCGAGCATCACCCCACCGCCTCTCCGTGGTCCCCCCCACCCCACCCACCCAAGCCAAAATGCTTGAGCACAGCAACAGGGCAAGAAAAGAACATCATAACGCGACCCTCCAACGAGCCATACCCCCCCGCCAAGATTCGCTTTCCTCTCCTCTCTTTCACAAGAAATCAATCACGGCACTAGACAAAGCCGAGCCTCCCGCAATGGGCCGCACTCGAATCTCAGTCCAAACCCGCTTCTCCGCACCTCGGAACGTTTCTCGCGCCCGGAGCCGAGGCCGCAGCGCGCGCTCGGGGACCGCCCGGGCCCGGCCAGGTGCCGCCCGCGTTCCCGCAGGCCGTCTCCGCCCGGTCCCCGCGCCACCCCCACCCTCCACGTTCCCCACTCACCCCTGCCACTCCTGCGGGGGGCTGCCCGCGACACCCTGGACGTGGCGGCTGACCCGGGAAGGAGCCTCCGGGCGCCGATCGGTCGCCCGCAGCAGCACCCCGAGACCCAGCGGGGACGGGAGGCGGGGGCGGGGCTAAGGGCGGAGGGGGGAGGCGGTTGCTAGGAAACCGCGTCTCCAGGAGGAAGTGATTCCCGACCGCCGGGTCTCCCGGGTACCCAACACCGCCCTACGGCTCCCTGGTCGCCGGGGCAACGGCCCACAGGGAGGAAATGACGTCACCCTGCGGGTCCTAGGTGCAGGAGGATTCATCGGCTGCTGGCGCTTCTGCTGTTTCCTAGGAGACAGGACCCGCCCTTCTCCACCCGGACAGAGAAAGCCTCCCCGGGAATCAGGGTCTTTTCCCGCAGATTCTATGACTCAAAGCTTTGCCACAGTTAGAATATGAAGTTCTGTGTATCAGAATAGTGGAGTGACGTGGAAGTGGCCTGACAAATAAGACAAAGAGTGCTTTCAGTGACGTTTGCAGACTCAGGAGTCAAACTGACCTTTGAATCATCACATCCTTTCTCCCATGGCGAGATGCTATAAGCTGAAGTTTCAGTTTCTTCTTTTGGAAAAAGGGGGATAATGATAATGATGATGATTATAATTATAATGATGATGATAATAATAGCTAAATCTCATTTGCTTATGTTAGGGTTAAAATACATACTATTGCTGATGTGTCCCCCCTCTCCTTTCCCCAGATTCACACACACACAAAGGTCTTTAGTCTTTCTCAGTTAGCCAAGAAAGACTGCTGCTAAGTAGGTGCTTCAAGTACAGCCTGTCAGTTTATAATTTGATTTGTATTTGGCATTAAGTAAATTTTTGCACAGTCACTTCCATTCTAGGGAAACTGCACAAACAACTGCTTTTGTAATTAATGACTGTCTTCAAGGGTTGCTGTGAAGATTGAATGAACTACAAAGATGGAAAATTTGCAAGAGTGCCTGGAATTGCGTTCACTCAACATTACATGCATTCTCATATTGCATTTTCATATTGGAAAGGTGAAAGTCCATTCCAATTGCTGTTTTTATTGTCAAGTATACCCATGTATGTATATAGTGGGTAGTATAATTAAAGTGGAGAAATAGTCTCGTAGGGTGGAGAACCAAAAGCAGTTAAAGCAATCGAGACAAACATTTAGCATAGGTAATCCTTAAAAAAATAAACAAGGCAAAAAACCTTATTAAATAATAAAGTATCTTGGATAGCTACTATTTTTAACTTGAAATAAGATTCGCTGAAGTTTGATTAAATTCACTGACTATTAACTAAGCTTGTTCCCAGCATTTTGAAGTATCATAAAATTTATTTAACAGTTATTTATAAACAAATCACACAGATTTTATACATCATGTATTAGAAAATTAAATGTACTGACAGAATAATAAAATTCAGTTTTAAAAAAATCTACTATTTGTGTGTGTGTGTGTTGTTTCTAGTTTTGTTTACTTTGGGGTCACTCTCTGCAGTGCTAATGGTTTACTCCTGGTTATTCAGGGATCAACTCCTGGCAGGATTCAGGGACCAATATGACATGTTTAGCATCTAACCCTGGCTAGTCACAATACTCTTTCTCCAGTCTTGGAGTGCATGCTTTTAAACAATGCCTATGACACAGCTCTTAAAAAAATTGTGGTCTGTTTATGTTTTACTTGTTCTTGTTTGAAAAATTCCTATTGAGGAATATTTGCTTAATTTAGGAATATTTGCTTAATTTTGATTCTTTCAAGTTAAATTCAAATAAGTTGCATTTTCATAGTTATTGCTAACTTTCTAATTTATGTTTTTAATTAATATCTTTTGTTATAGAATCTGTTCCCACAAAAGAGGACAGCATCCATATTTCATAGATGTGTATAGCACTTATTTGCTTGTATTGAAATCTTTAAGTTAATTTAAAAAACTCATTTTTTTTACTCATTTGACTGGTATAGTTTTCATTAGAGATGACTTGGAAAAATAAAATTCACAAAGAAATCTTCAGAATGGCCTTTAGAAAAGTCTTCTATCTTTTCTACTGAATTCATTAGATTTCTATTTTTAGTATAATAAAAAATAATTGGTAAACAGAACCAGGCTTTCATTAACTTACAAAGACATCATAAAAATGTTCTGGTAAACTCATCCACAAGACTTGAAACAGCAAGTCCTCTTATTATAGTGGCAGAAAATTGTGTACTTCATTAATATTTTCAGGGTTGCTTCAGTATCTTATAACAACAACATCTGAATTGAGAGTTAATTTTATCCCCATGCATGCTTGTAATAAGTATATAATTGTTACTGAATCAACTTATATATCAATCAATAGCCTTTAGAGCCAAAAAATTAACTTTTGAAACATTCCAAAGGACTTTCAAGATAACTTCTTTAAAAAGAATAAAAATACATTAGCATATAATATGTCACTATTATATACATTTCTCTATATTAACACATAAATATTTCTCTGATATATGCCTGGATTAGAAGTATTTGCATATCAAAGTCTTTTTTTGTTTGGGCATTAACTCAAGCTCTGAGACTAAGGAGTCACTTCTGATGGTTCTCTGGGACCTTGAAGGGACTTTGAGATTCCAGGATTGGAACCTGAACCTCCAGCATGCAAAACAAGCTCTTCAACCCTTTGTGCTATCTCCAGATCCTACATTTTTTAAAAATAATTTATTTATTTATTGAATCACTGTGGGAAAAGTTACAAAGCTTTCAGGTTTAGGTCTCAGTCATGCAAATATCAAACACCTTTCCCTTTACCAATACTTATTTTTTACCACGAAGAACCCCAATAAAACCCCACCCCAACCCCTCCCAATGCCTGAGAGGCAGATGAATTCTAGTTGACACTCTATCTGCTTTGATTAGATTCATTGTTTCAATAAAAGATGCACCACTATTATTTAGAGTTTACCCCCCCCCCCAAATCAGACATGTTGAAAAAGCATTGTGAAGTGATTCGCTTTCTACAGCTGGGTTCAAGAATTAAATATTGGTTTTGGATTTCTGCTATTTTGCTAATTAACCCTGGAAGTATTTCTACTGAGAGTCAGATGATTAAGAGATTGGTTTCTGTGCTCTGGAGTCATGGCCAGATCCTGCATTTAAAGAAGCATTTTTCTATATTTAGCCTTGTATTCAATCATTTGTTGATTGATTTTTTTTCACTAAGTATGCCCATAACAATAGTCTTCTGGGTCAGATTTTAAAATTTCAAAGGTACACTTGGCTAAGTCATTGCTTAGGGATCTTATAGAGGTAAATCTGAAAAACTGGGTAAATAGATAGTGACCACATAATTTTCAACAGTGAAATTTTCTCTTATTGAAGTGCAATAAAGTTGCTAAGAGAGAACAAGGCACAATTTCTGGTGACTCCAAAACATTGCACAGACACAGCTGACTTTGAGTTGTTGAGTTAGTTTAGTATGTGAGAATCAGAAATACATTTATGCAGAATGTACTGCAAGTGCATAGACTAGTAATGTATAGCCAGAATATGGAGCCCACATTGTGGCTTAAAGTAGGTTTTAGAGGAAGATGGTGCTCAGAAAGGCTTTGAGAGCCATTTATAAGAGCAAATGAGAAGTGGCTCTCTATAAAGTTACCTGCCCACACCTCAGCAAGCAAATTGTTTATTGTCCTGTGACTGACCACACAGGTTAGAGACAAAAGATCTTGTACTCAGAGCCAGCCCAGCTGAATGAAGCACCTGTCTAGCATTTTGAGAAATGAATTACAGAAAGCAAATCCCCTGGGAGTCAACTGATAAGGAGCCTACTTAAGAGCACACAGAATGTTCATATCAGAAGAGAGTTAAAGTGAGTGCTCAGAGTCAAGTACGTTTGCCAATACCCAATTCTGGGATTAAAGCAATAAGAGATTCAGAAGGGAGGTATCAGAATAACAAAGAAAGCTATGACAAGCTACACCAATAGAAATCATCTTACCAGTTTCTTTTGAGGGATAGAAAACTAACTGGATATTGTCAAATTTACCAGTGAATACTATTTTGGGTTGTTGTATATAGATAGTGAATCACTATGCAGAAAGGAAAGCATGATTTTTCATTCTAACCTGTCATTCTGTACAATTTTATTTGTATAAATGAGTAATGTTCTCAGCTAAATGCCTCCTCCAGGTAATATTTCAGATAGACAAATGTTCTTGGTGAATGTTACCTCTACCACCTATATATTGTTAACTGTAATGTGACTCATATAGTTCTTTATCTTTCACTCATATTATTTGAATCTCTAAAAGAAGTGAAACTTCCCTTTTTATATCACAAGTGAAAATTGAAGGTACAGAAAAATACTTTATTTTTCACAGATATCATGACTACAGATTGATTGAACTGGAATCCAAAGCCCAGTGGCCTCAACCAGCGGCCAAAATACTCATCAATGAGTATTTTGAACTAACTTTGGGGGGGGGAAGCCTGTGGTTGACTTCTCCCCCAAAGTCCACAGAACCTGTGAATATGAAAAAGGATTTTGCATCTATGATTTGGTTAATAATCTATCACTACTTCCACATTGATTTTTTTTAAAAAAAACTCTCATATGTGGGAATTAAACATAGGAAGGGAACAACTAATGGTCCAGAGCATTGGAATTGGAGATTCTGTTGACAGAACTGAGCTTCCCTGGAGGGGTGGTTGTGAGGAGCCCTTGGTTCACTGGGAGGAGTCATACAGACACTGGCGATACATGTGGTATTGGGATAATGTATGCATGAAAAGTATAATTAACAATATTACAAGTATGGTATCTCAATAAAAATGATGAAGAAAAAGGAAAAGAAGCGAAGAACTAAAGAATTTTAAAATAAGTAAATAAGTAAAGGCCCTCCCGTTGATCATAGATTTGCTCAAGTGGGCCCAGTAATGTCTCCATTGGAGACTTTGTTGTTACTGTGTTTGGCATATCGAACACGTCATGGGAAGCTTGCCAGGCTCTGCCATGCGGGCAAGATACTCTCGGTAGCTTGCCGGGCTCTCCGAGAGGGGCGGAGGAATCGAACTCGGGTCGGCCGTGTTGGCTGCGTGCAAGGCAAACGCCCTACCGCTGTGCTACGCTCCA